TTGAACTTGTAACCACATGAATGAGACCTGTGAAGTAAATGTATCATCTTTCCTTTTCTATTATAACTGTGGTGCCAGGAGGAACAATAGTGATGCTAATGTAGCAAGACACACACACACACACACACACACACACACACACACAACAATGTTCCTTTCAGCAAATAGTCTCCCATTGGCCCTAGCTACAAAATATTGTTTTTTCGAGAGTGAAACTGAACCATAAAATTTAAACAGATGACATTCCATTCTAGTTAGAAGATCCTGGAACTCGACATTCGGACCATAAAATCTTCTTGAGGATGTCTTCTGAGGCTACTTCTCCCTCAATTGTTTCTCATAAATTTATAGAAAATGGTCTTATTTTCCCCATTATACTTGTGTTCATACAGTATGGAGTCCTGACAATGGACAACTACTGTATATCACTTGAAGTCTACGGCTTGGACGTATCATCTCTGCACATTTTCACGCCGGCTTGTAATTTGAACATCTTCGACAGACTAAGCAATTCAAGATTTATTTCGATGCAATTCTGTGAGAGTAATTATATTAAAGCAGGCAGCTGGCAGTTAAATTAGGTATGTTATTGCCATTCACGTATGTGTTTAGTCTACTGTTCTTTGTGCGATGCACTTGGTTTTGTAATTCAACATGAATCATCTGTTTTCCTTTTTTTTTTTTAATCTTTCCACATATTTAAATGCACAACTGCTCAGTTTTCCAAGGACAAGGGAAAAGTCTTGCTTGCAGATTCCCTCATAAATAACTGTTAGTGTTTTGACAAATAAGCAGCTCCTAAAGAGGAGGCGTTTATGTGGCTCCTGCTGTTTATCTCGTCTCTATCACAGAGGGTTTTTTCCCTGTCATGCAAATTGCTTGCTTGCTTGTTTATAGTCGTCAGCCCGTGCCACTTTGAGGTGTCATGTCAGGGAACGGTATCACCACTCATCATTCCTTTTGCTGGAGAACGCGATGTTGCTGACATTGCCATGTTGCATTAAAGTCACACTGGGATATTATCTAGGACGTGCAGCTTGGAATCACATGAAACCACTTCAGAGAAAAGACTGTGAGCCGCAGATTTTCATCTCATACATCCTAAAGCTCTCAAACACTTAGGATCATAAACTTGCAACCCTCACAAATCTCTGTGAAAGAGAGTAATGACCGAATTGGAACAAACACTCCAGACTCCATCAGATAAACAAAGCCATTATGTGACGTACGGATGGAAAATGACATGTGGTTTTATTTTGCTGCGAGGACTCACAACCGATTAACAACATTTTGTTGTGGTGCTTTAATGAAAACAGACCTCGCTGCTTCCGTCGTGCAGTCGCTCATTGGAAGGCTCTGCAAATACTGCATTGCAGGATCCTGCATTCTTTTGCATCACTGAATAACTCCTGCTGAGGTGCCCCTGGGCAAAAGCATTTTTGCATTTTGCTCTTTTGTGCCGGTGGTACCGTGCAGTAGCCACAAAGAAAGTTTTTGTTTTGTAAAACAAAACAAAAAAGAAAAAGGTCTCTGTGCAGCACTGATGGAGATAACAGAAACCAACACTCACCACTCTTACAGATGGGACAGCATTGATCTGGCTCATACTCCGGGTCAACACACTCAGTCTGAGGACAAGCTGCCACCGAACACAACACCTCCCCACTGGGCTCACACCGGCACTTTTCACATGGAGACACCTGGATATCAAAGAAGACAAGAAGAAGTTAAAGTATAAACAAAGGGCAGTCATCACTCTGGTTAACATTACACACACACACACACAGAGAGAGGGAGAAAAACAAAGACTTTAATTTCTTGCGGTCTTTGTCTGGGGCTCTTTGTTAGTCTGATTATCTGTCCCTCCACTGTTCCGACTCTTAACAGCAGTCACTGACTCTCCTATTCACTGGGAGAGAGTGTTCTTTTCATCCCCTACGTTTCTCCCTCTGCCTTTGACTCTCCGTACACACACTTGTTGGTCAGTGGTTGTGAGGACACACGGGTAGAACCTAATGCTTCTTTTTCATTCCTGGCACTTCGCGAATCATCTCGGCAAACTGCCTCACCCCATTGGTTCCTAAGGTGCGGGTAGTGGCGGGGGGAGGAGGGGTCAATTTCAATTAAATATTGTGTTTTTAGAGCAGCTGTTTGTAAACTGCACTGATTCATAATTTTATATCCGTTGTTCATTGAGAATAGACGTTTTAGTGTTGGAAATAAATTTCTGTGAAGTCCTGAATCTGTAAATGTGTGAACATGTTGACGTGTGGGGAGGTGTGTGTGTGTGTGTGTGCATTCCAAGGTTGATTCCATATTTATTTTTTACTCCTTGCTCCAATCGTAGTGATAAAACTCTGACTCAAATCCTTTTTTCTCCTCTGTAACATTGCTTCTAAATTCCATTACGTTGTCAGTAGTTTCCATATCCAAGGCTATGAAATTAAATTAAAAAAGACGGCAACGTTATTTTTTGTGTTGTTCATTCACTCTAGTGATAAACTCCACCACCGCAGATGTCCGTAACACAAATCCTACACTAAACAACACATTTGGGCCGTTTTTGTCTGTTTTGTCTATTTCAAATATCATTAATATTTTCATAGTAGTTATTTTAGTTCCACCTTCCACCGCCTGCACTCTGGAGTCTTAGTGTGAAGGACCACGTAGACCTTCTAGTTGACTCTGCCATTCTATTCTATTCTAATTCACCAAAATGCCCACCTCTTGTAAACACACGTAATGGATGGGTAGAGCTAATCGCTGAGTTGGGATTCTTCCCACATGTTCGTCCTCAAAAACCTCTTGAAGTTGTGAAGAACATTTTCAAGTGACCTGTAAATGTCTTCAAATTGCCAATTCAATCCACTTTTTCCATCTCCCATTCTTACAATAGGTGAAAAGAGAGGGGGGAAAGTCAAAAGAAAGAAAGATAAAGGGACAGTGAACATCTCTTCTTTTCATTACTTTCATTTTTTGTATTTATTTTTTATTTTTTGTCCCTGTCTTGGTGTCTGTTCGACTTTATCACAGAGTGTCACATATTGTTAGGTGAAGTTACAGTTGACTGAGTTTCTTCAGTGGAACTGGCTGTTAATTTAGTAACTGAAGCTCCAGCAGGGTAGTAGAATTCTACCTTTTATTACTTTTAGTAAAGTATTGGGAAATCGAGTTTAGATGTCGTCCACTTGTATCTATTACAGTCTCACCCTGAAAGTGGAAACAGAAACTAGCTCTAAAATGGCAATGGTTCCTACATAGATAGAGTTTGCAACCAACATGGCTGCTACCTGTTTCCTAAAAGATTTTTTTTTAATTAGATTTTCAGTAGTTAGTGTTGTTACCACACTGTAGTATTTCACAGGTACACATAACTGGTGTGTAGTTTTTTAAGGTTATGAGCCTTGGTACCTAGGGTTGCATTTAGACAAATACAACTGCTCGTACAAAAAAATACATACAAAGGTACTCTATGGACAGCTCAACTGTGAAACTAATTGTTTGCATTTTTTGATTCCTATAAAATGCAGTAAACGTCGATATTTGTAGAGAGACAAGAGTTTCATCTGTGAGTGGGCCCCAAATGTGAAGTTTTGCTGTTGAAGCTAGTTTTGATTTTACAGCTCACAGGAGTGTTGGCTGGTTGTTAATGCACGTTACCGGACCCATTACTGCTCTGTATATACTATTCAGACTGTGTATTTTAACTGTTTAACGAGTGAGATGTTCAGTGAGAGGAGCTCAGTCCAAACCCGTATGTCTCATGTACAGAGAACTAACAGACATTAACCAGACATCAAACTCAGAGGAGTTACGTTTAAAAATGGAAAGATTAGTATTTTATTAAAGATGTGGGGGATTTCTGAGCGGATGTTTCAGGAAGTCTTTTGGAGTCCTCCCCTGGTGGCCAACAGTCATACTGCGGGCAAAACGGCCTTGCCACTCTCTCCTCATTGTATTAGTAAACACATTTGTCACCGTTCTTTAAACTAATTCCACCAATTGGCCCAACGTTAACCTCACTGTAACTCTAACCACAGACCTCAAACCGTATCATCACTCCCAGAATTCCTCCTTAAGTTGGAGGACTTTCAAAATGTCTTTGCAATGTCAAAATGTCCTCACACTTCGCTGCACACAATATTGTGTTCACACACACACACACACACACACTGTAGTTTGAGCCTCACACAGCTGCCTTAAATATGGAGGTCCCATCCTCCTCCTCCTCCTCCTCCTCACCTTCATTGACAATAAATGCCTCGTTTTAAAAGGTGCAAGGAGAGGAAAATTAAAGGGAGAAATCAATAGAAATAGGAAACTAAGGAAAGAGGCTCCCGGTTTCCGTTCGTGCGTGAACAGACTCACAAATTCCTTTATTATCCAAGCATTACTTTAAGTCTCCAAATGGAATAAATATGAGACAGAGGTGGGGTGTGATGATACACGCTGAGAATGATCAAAGCGTTCTCGGTGAAAGGCTTCATTTACCTGCCACTTGTATGAAGCCATGCACCGTCAGTTTTTAAAGATAACAGCTTATAGTTCAAGGGTTAATTTTTCCTGCCTGGGTCTAGATTGCAGAGGCCTGTGCCTCCGCATGGCACACCGCTGTGAAAAATGGAGCAGGGCGGCACCAAGTACAATGCTCCAGAACATTGCAATCAAGCATGAAAACCTGCCTGTTGCTTAGATTAAATTCCCCCGTCACCCCCCCCCCCCACATCCTACAGCGGCATCACAGAGGCTGACACAGGCCTGGTTTAAAGTGGAGCCTTTTGGAAGGTTTCCTTACAAGTGCAGACTTGATGTATAGCTGTCAGAATCTGCTGAGTTAAAAGCCTCAAATTCCACATTAGGTTTAACCTCCCCCTGAGATACTTTGCAGTATTAAAAACAATTGGTAAATGCTGGATCTCATAAAATCCATAGCTCCAGCACTGTGATGCAATTTCATAGTCTGGCCTTATCTCAGACATATAAGAAGATGAAACAATAAAAGTCCTGATAGTAAAGCCTCTGTCTCTCCACAGAAACCCACGCATGCCTGTGTTTTCCTTCCAAAGTTATGTGAGTTTTATCCATACTCAATGAGTACTGCCAAACTGAAACTGAAAGCCCTGCTGAAGTGGCACTGCTTTACTCATTTCTGGTTGAATGTGTTGTGTGGGAGAAAAAAGACAAGTGCTGACCTTTGCCATTTTAAATGTGCCTGCCTGCTCACTAGCATGCAGTGAGGAAAGGTACCTGTTTTTGTGTAAACCCTGTGTACTGTCAGCACTTCTTTCAACTTTGAACGTGTCAGAAATTGAGTGAATGCCGTTAATGAGCTCACCTTAAACTCTTCCAGCGAAGCATAGACCTTGCCGCGGAATTCACAGTAGTTTTTTTTCTCCTTGCACTGCGGGCAGCATTGGCTAGTGTCCACTTTAATGCAGCGGGGATGGACCTTGGGGCATTCTGGCTTAGCGCACAGAGGGCCCTCGTCTGTGCACAGGCACGGGCACGTGGACGGGCCTGGAGTGAACTCTTCACCAATGGCAAACACAAAACCACTTTCGTCCATGCAGCCTTTCCCCCTGTAGTCTGGGTAGGCATATTCATCAATAGCATCCAGAGAGAGGGTGACGTCACTGGTGGGACCCTCGTCTATTTGGTTTAGATTGTCCTGTTCGCTCCACAGCTCCTGGGATTTCCCACCTTTAGATCCTCGTGGTGTGGAGTTGGTGCGGCTCCCTCCTTGTACTGTCTTATTTGTTCCCAAAATATTGATTTCTTTTGGCTGCTGCTGAGCTCCATATCCCAGGAGCGTCTGTGGAGTTTGCTTGTCCTGATGTTTGTCCTCACCGGCCAGGGTCAACACCCTTTCAAGGCGCTCTCGGTTCACTGGTAAGGTCGTTATAGGATTAGAGTGAGCGCTGCTCATCAGGAACCCAAGAACAAAGAAAACTTCTGCAGTCATGGCAACGGAGTGCAGCATCTCTCCCCACCACCAGTGAGGTGGGAAAAAAAATCTTGGCTCACATTACACACTTTACATCTCAGGTGCGAACCAGTCCATCTGGAAAGAGAAAATTAAACTGGGGTTACGTGCTCAGTATTTTGTCACTTTTTATCACAGGTGTGAGGTTTGTTTCGCTTTAGACCACAGTGCAACATGTCGGGTTTTTTTTTTCTTTCCGAAGCGCTGCTCAATCATGTCAAGCGGGCGCCCTGCTGAGTGTGACGCAGGCCCGCCGGATCAGTGAATTGGATCATCAGGACAGGGAGCATTCATAGAGCGTGTTAGGAAATCAATACATCTACGACAGTAACACTCTCAGCATCAATCGGTCATGGCAGTGATGGACTAAAAAGAAAATCACCAAAGAAAGACCTAATTCTAATAGTCCTAAACTCCTGCTACTCCCAGGGAACAAAGAATCAAGATCAATGTCTGCACTTTTTTTTTTTAATGAATCGGAGGCAACTGAGCAAAAGCAGAAATTGATTTGTAAATGGAACACAAAGCCAATCTTAAAAGGCTATACCTGACTAAAGTTTCCCGACAAGAGTCAAACTGATACCATTTAAACAATAGCTTTACAATTCACTACAGTTTTTTTATGTTTCATTTAATTAAATAAACAAATCTCTTTCTTGACCGTGTTTAGTCCTGAGTAGAAACGTATACATCAGCCAACGTCCAGAGAAATCCCAGAATTACTAGCAGTTGTCCCAGAGTCCAGACTCAATAATAACGATCTAGTAGGACTATAGCCTGAGAGCATATTACAATCATAATTTCTAAATATTGTCTTTAAGAGTACTTAAGACGTTTATTTTTTATTTTCTTTACACTTCCTGTGCCAGATGTTTCACTCTGTGCATCCAGACTTTTTCTTTTTTTTAACATTAAGCTGCTGCTTAAACACTGATGAGTTAGTAGATGAGTTAGTAGATGGTTTAATGTATGTGACCTATGACCTCAGGAGTTCTGTGAATACCCAACACTTTAAATCATAAATTCACAAATGTTGAGATAAATACATTTCACTGAAGCCTTAACAAAATTGATAGGGAAAAATAACATAAGGACCAACAAAGATAATTATTGACAATGGTCTTGTGTGAAAACAAATTGAAAAAATGTGTTGCAGTTTTGAGATTTAAGAACTTGAATGAAAAGTAAATAACAAAGAGTAATCAGAGATACAACTGAATGAAAATAACAAAGAGTAATCAGAGATACAAACCCCGGATGCTGTGCCACCTAAGAAGCACTCTACTAGACATGAGTTCTTCTTTCAGGAAAATGACTCGAAACACACTTCATAAGCCACATAACATTGAACACTGCCCTCTACTGATCAATTCATACACTGTTACAAATAGACCAAAATCAAATCACAACGTTTGATTGGTCTCGTAGATTGATGCGAAAATTATTCCCAAAAAAATAGCTATTTTAAAAATCATAATCTCTCTTTCAGCATGTAGATCACTTGTTGTTGTTTTGTAAGTCTTCCTGTCCAAATGTATTTGTCTTTGTTACTCTTATGTCAAACGCGTTTTTGTCTTTCCCTTCAACCCACTGGCATCATGTTGACACCGTGGCGTCGTATGAAGGGTGAGATTACTCCATACTGATAGTTTCTCCAATTAAGCGTGAGGTCCTGTCTGCACTTGTTAAAGAATAATTCACCACATTGATTTATTTGTCAACCTCAATGAACAACGCTAATTTCCAACAGAACTATTAGGGAGGCTAAACAAGAGGTGAGGAGCAACTGGGCATTAAGTGAACAGCATATAATCATTATTGGAAATACAGCTTTTCAAACAGAGCAGAGAAGGGAGATTTTTAGACAAACGGCCGTTTTAACTGTACCTGACTAAATTCCTAAACCGACCAAGACTTGGTCATGAATTAATATGCATGAATTGTGCTCCTTTCTCTGGTAAAGAGGCTGGGACTGACTGCAGGCACGCCAATGGTATTTGAGTGGTGTTTTAGTTGAATTGCTAGGTTTGAGGCAGAATCCTTGGAGCTGTTGTCGAAGTGAGAGGAAGCAGAATGAGGTGCATACCGATAATGCTGCTGCTGCCGCAGCTGAGAGGGAGGAAGAGCTGAGGAGACGGAAAGATATGAGAGCGAGGCTCATTAGCAAAAGGACCTCATTTGGCTTTTCACAGTCTCACCTCTCCGCCTTAACAGCTGTTACTGGCTGTCACACAGTTACTGTGCCCTCTGTCACACTGAGCTTTAACTACAGCTCTCAAGCATGTCGTCGGACAGGATTTAAACTGGCCACAGAACCACCGAGGCTTAGAGGATGACACTGTCACAAGATTTGTTGTTTCCTCACAACAGCAGGTCCGATGAGAAGATCGTAGTGGGCAAGAAATTGATCATACTAACAAGTGGCGTCGGTGCTTCTATGTCACATAAATCTCTCTATATACAGTATAGGCTCCACAGTGCTGTTATAGAATACAGTAAGAACTCAGCTGAGCTGGCTGGGATGTTTTTTTTCATGATCATCTTTTCTTTAGCTTATTTGGAGCCAAAGACCCTAACGAGGATACGTTGTTAGGACTCAACATCCTGACACTTAACACACCAGCTTTAGTAAAAGTATATGGCCTTACATTACATTATTTGTGACCTCATAAAAAGTCCAGGCTTGTAGCACAATAAAGTTGTGTCGTTACTACATCACAATCTTATATTTTAATGTTCCTGTTCAGGCCTCACTTAAAGGTTTAAAGGTCAGGATAAGACTGTGACAATGAAAATCATATGAATAAACATGGCTTCTGTATGTAATCAGACTTTAAACATGACCTCAGAGAATTTCAATGACTGTGTTAGCCAGACTGTTACCAGATCAGTTTAATCACTGATGTTTTTTTCATCAGCGTAGTGTGGCTTTATACATATAAAATGATGTGCAAATGAGTTTTCTTCTTCTCCTTGCGTGTGTTGTCTTTCTAATCCCAGAATATCATGGAGATCATTCCAGATAGACTATAGCTATATTGACACTAATGCACTTATGTTTCATTTTGTTTGTATTGTTTACAGCTAAAAAAAAAACACAGCAGAAAAACATTGTATAAAGACGTCCCTATTTGGACTCGCTTCATGTCTCACATCTATTTCACTGGCAGTTGATGTGGAAGTAGAAGAAGCAACACAGCATGATGACACGTCAGCGATGCCTTACAGCACCAGCAGCTGACCATAGATAATGTAAATGTGTGTAAAAGTGTTGAAATGAATTATACTCTAAAGTAATATAAAGTAACAGCTACCGTTAGCTGACTTAGCAGCCTGCTGAAAGGTGAAACAGAAATAGCCCCTTGACAGCCAATCAACAGCAAGCCTGAAACGAAACATATTCCAATCTATTACAGCAAAGTTAGGTGAACTTCTGTCAATACATTGATTTCCATCCTGCTCTTGTTCCCCGCTCAGAGGACACCAGCTCAATTAAATGGTCCACTCCAGCTGCAACCGTACACCATGAAATGCCACAGCATTTATCAACAACCAGAGGTCCATTATTCTTCCTTCCCTATAAGTGATGGATCAAGTTGAACCACAGCCTAAAGTGTCCTCCAGTACATCCTAAAGTTCTCATTGGAGTTGATGGTCTGGGCTCTGTGCAGGTCAATTCATATGTAGAAATGCTGACTCAGAGTCCCTGAACCACTTCGTCACAATTTGAGTCCAGAAATCCTGACATTTCATATTGGAATATGTCTGTGTAGCCGGGGTAGGTGATGTAAACCCAGGCTAAAAATGGCCTTTACTGTAGACACCACTTCATTCTTATGTCTTCTTCACTGGTTTGCCCATCAAACTGGCGTCATTAGACACCATGACCTTTGACCTTTATACATTGATCCACAGCCCAAATTTAATTCTCTGCAGTAAACTAACGTTGGTTTTTTACCTAATTATATATATATGAATGCCAAGTGTAAAATATATACATGTTTAATCCATTTCCTTCCAACACTTTATGTCTATTATTATGATGATTAACTATTGATACGTTAACTATCAAATAAACCCTGTGCCACACTTAAACACTAAAACACAAGTAGACCTAAAAAATTTATGGTGCCCTCAGGAGGGCAGAATTTTAAAAAAAAGTATAAATTAAGTTATTTTAACCACTAATATGATAACGGCTAACAAGATAGATGCTGCTAATTTGTCTGACCTTTATTGGTAATGGAGCATTTCTCAAACTAATTTTCTGTGAATGTTCCTATTTTCCCATTATGTAACAAATAAGGGACTTAAAAAAAACAAGGCAAAACTGGCTGAGTAAATACAGTAAACCACAGAACGTTTCTTTGAGCTCTTACCTTCCAGAAAAGTCAACCCCCTAAATTTGGTGCATTGATGATCTTGTTTTATGTACTGTACAGTGCTACACAAAAGGGAATCAACAAATGTGTGAATAAGGCTAGAAACATATTCAAGAACCAAGAAATGTGTCGTTTTCCTTAGAGAATAACGAGACAGAGGTTCCCTCTGACCCGGATATTTAATATTTTATGTCAAATCAAGTGCCAGAGTTCAGGGTCCATCAGAATGGGACCCTCCCATGACTTAACATTACTAATTATAATTACTTTCATTATCAGGAGAACATTTCTTCCCATTACTTTCATTATCAGGAGAACATTTCCACTGTTCAGCCTTTACCAACAATCACTCAATAGTTGAGGAAAAAGTTCTAGAACTCCCAAGACAGAGTTGCGAAAACGAAACAAGTTTTTTTTTTCTTTTTCTGGCAGCCCTAGGCGGAAGAACACATTTTCCTTTCAGAGCATTCGTCAGCCTCAAATCCTCACCTTAAAATTAACGCAGTTCTTTATTTTCTCCTTTTTTCACTGTAAAACCTGCAAAGGTGTTCCTTTAAAAAGTGCCAAAATGAAACAGTAATACAATACCTCGACTTCACATCTCTGATCATACACTGTGTAAAAACTCATCAAGCGGCCAGTTGCTCAGACAACGTGTGAATTTTAATTTTAGGGTAATGAGGACTTAAAGTGTGG